ATTGCAGCTTTCTCTCTTCGTTCTTCTAATAAATCCAGGTCTCGGGCTAAGAGTTTGTCATTGGTGCCATTCTCTACTCCCTGGGTTCTGATCCCTGGGATGCCGATCTCCAATGGGATGACTGCTTCTGTGCCATATGCCATGGCGAATGGGGATTCTCCTGTTGATCTTCTCGGCGTAGTCCGATATGCCCAAAGTACGTTGGGTAACTCGTCCACCCACTTTCCTTTTGCTGCCTGGAGCCTCTTCTTAATTCCATCCAGGATTACTTTGTTGGACGCCTCTGCTTGCCCATTGCTTTGAGGAAAACTTGGAGTTGAGAAATAGTTCTTGATTTTGAATTTTGCACAGAAGTTTTTGATAAGTTTGCTGTCGAACTGTGTTCCGTTTGTCGGCAACTATTGCTCTTGGAATCCCAAATCTGGTGATTATGTTTCTCCAAATAAAATTCTTGACATCCACATCTCGGATTTTGGCAAGAGGTTCTGCCTCTATCCATTTTGTGAAGTAGTCTGTTGCTACCAGCAAGTATTTTCTTTGCCCAGTTGCTTGGGGAAGTTGTCCAACCAGATCCATGCCCCGTTGGGCAAACGGCCAAGGGCTGGATACTGGGTTTAGGTCGGCAGCTGGTTGATGTATCAAAGATGCAAACCTTTGACATTGTTCACACTTCTTTACATAGGCTTCGGCGTCCTTTTGCATGTAGGGCCACCAATACCCCTGGGTAATGGCCCTGTGGGCTAACGATCTGCCCCCTGCATGGTTTCCACAAATTCCTTCATGAATCTCGTAAAGGAAATCTTCCACCTGTATAGGATGTACGCACCTTAAAAGTGGTCCAGTGAAGGACCTCCTGTAGAGATGGCCTTCCGCTGTTAGACTGAATCTGGCTGATTTCAGCCTAATTTTATGTGCTTCTTTATGGTCTTCTGGCAGCTTTCCCTCTTTTAGGAATGCAATGATCGCATCCATCCAACTTGGTCCAAGGCCCACGCACATTGCTTCTTGTTTAATGCTCTGTTTATCTATGCTCGGGGCCGACATGTAGTCGATCATAATTGTCCTTGTTTTTCCAGTTTGAATTGAGCTGGCCAAGTTGGCTAACGCGTCGGCGTGGGTGTTGTCATCTCGGCTTACTTGGAGTAATCTGCAGTTCTGGAATAGGGTTGCCAGTCGGATGACTTCCTTTGCATATGCCGACATTCTTTCGTCTCTGGCTGCAAATTCTCCTGTTGACTGGTTAACAATTAATTGTGAATCACAAAAAATAATTACCTCGTCTGCCTCTGCTGCTGCTGCTAGCTTTAGCCCTGCAATTAATGCTTCATATTCTGCTTCATTATTGGAGGCTTTGAACCCCAGACGGATGGATTGTTGTACAATTTCTCCATCTGGAGATATCAGCAGTACTCCTGCTCCAGCTCCTTGGCGGTTTGAACTTCCATCGACGAATAGTCTGAATGAATCGCCGATGTAGATGCTGCACGGTCTGAGTTTTTCTTTCTCTTGCTTTTTTGTCTTTGACTGGGATTCCTTTTGTTTGTTAGGTTGATGCTCATCTTGGCTTGACGGAGCCCGAGGTGTGATGGCTTCAGGTGTGAGTTCTGCGACGAAATCGGCCAAAACTTGGCCCTTTATTGCTGTTCTTGGCCTAAATTCCAGGTCAAACTGGCCCAGTGTTACTGCCCATTTTGCTATCCTTCCTGTTACGTCTCCTTGATGTAATAAGGACTTCAGTGGGTGCTCTGTTAGAACCACAATCTTGTGTGCCTGAAAGTAATGGCTCAATTTCTTTGAGGCCATTACCAAGGCTAGCATTAATTTTTCCAGTGGTAGGTACCTTGTTTCCGCGTTAGCCAAAGTCTTGCTTACATAATAGACAGCCTTCTGCTCCCCTTTTTCCTCTCGGATTAGTACTGCACTGACTGCGTGCTCAGAGACTGCTAAGTACAAAAACAATTCCTCCCCTGGGACTGGGTTAGAAAGGACCGGGGTTGTGGTCAAGTACTTTTTTAGGTCGGCTAAGGCAGCTTCACATTCTTCTGTCCATAGGAAGTCTGTGGCTTTTTTCATCAGGTTGAAGAAGGGTCTGCACTTGTCTGAGCTTCTGCTGATGAATCGGTTTAGGGCTGCGGCCCTTCCAGTGAGCACTTGAACTTGCTTTGCCGATGTTGGACTCTGTAGTTCCAGGATGGCCTTGATTTGGTCTGGGCTGGCTTCAATGCCCTTTCTTGTTACCAGATATCCTAGAAATTTACCTGACCCAACTCCGAAGGCGCACTTTGAGGCGTTGAGTCGGAGCCGATATCTTTTGAGTATGTCAAAGACCTCTTTTAGGTCGGCAAGATGACCTTTTGATTCCTTGGTCTTTACGACCATATCATCGATGTAGACTTCTACCGTTTTGCCAATCATGTGTTTAAACATCTTTGTCACTAACCTCTGATAGGTTGCTCCTGCGTTTTTCAGCCCAAAAGGCATTACCCTGTAACAGTACAGGCTTTTCGGGGTGATGAACGCTGTCTTCTCCTCATCTGGAGGGTACATGGCAATCTGGTGGTACCCTCTGTATGCATCTAAAAAACTCATCCTTTCATGTCCCGAAGTGGCGTCTACCAGTTGGTCGATTTTGGGTAGAGGAAAGCCGTCTTTCGGGCAAGCTTTGTTGAGGCTGGTAAAGTCTACACAAACCCTCCACTTGCCATTCTTCTTTTTTACTACTACTGTGTTGTACAGCCACGTTGGGTACTGAACTTCTCGGATGGCCCTAGCTTCAAGGAGTCTGTCTACCTCTTCCTCTACTGCTTCGACGTGCATTAACGTCGGCCTTCTGGCTCGTTGAATCACAGGCTTTGCCGATCTGTCGACATTCAGACTGTGGCAAGTGACCTCGGGGTCAATGCCAGGCATTTCATAAGGTGTCCAGGCGAACGCCTCTATGTTTGCCCTTAAAAAATCTTCCAGTTCTTTTTCCTCTTCTCTGGTTAAGCCTGAGCCGAGAAGAAAAAATCGTTCTTCGTCGCCCTCCTGGACGAGGATTTTCTTTAGCGCCTTTTCGCTTTTCTCGGCTGGTTCTTTCCCGACGTCTTCCAGGACTTCTATGTCCTCATCTTCAACTTCTGCTTTCTTTGGCTCCCGTATACTACAGGTGGACTTTATTGCTGCCATGGAGCAATTTTTGGCTTGTAGTTGATCCCCTCTGACTTCTTCAATCCCATGCTCTGTTGGGAACCGGAGTAGTTGATGCAACGTCGAGGGAACTGCCCCCATTGCATGCAACCACGGCCTTCCCAAGATGATGTTGTATGGTGAGGGTGTGTCAATAACCTCGGCATACTGAATCTTTTGGGCGGTTCGAATTTGTCCAGTTCTACCGAGAAGGCTGTCTTCGGTTTTACTGGGGAGTTTACCTCGGCTTCTGCATTCTGCTGCCTCCTCTTGAGGTAGTCCCTTAAGTCTTCTTTGCTCCTCCCTGGAGCTCGGCTGTCTTTGGATTTTAGTCTTTTTGGTACACTGCTTTCGGCCTCGTGGTGGGGTCGTTTGGATCTTTCTTCGTGGGATGTGTCAAAATGGAGTACTTGCCCCTGAACATGTCGATGTTCTTTGGGGTCTGGATTCTTCATGTGGTGTGTCCTTCGGGACTCTTCTTGCCTCGGCTTTTCTCGTCCGACTTCCCTGGAAGGTCGGTGTGAATGCCTTCCGCTTCTGGTATGCTGAGGGACCTCGGGGATTGTTTTTCTTACCTCCTTCTGAGTGTTGTTCGCTGGCATCGGCGTATCTTGCAGCGGGTATGGTGGCTGCATAACATTATTCTGCATCATGAAGTTGACGACTGACTGGAGGTCCGCCAACTTGTTTGCTAGTTCTTTTACTTCCTCATCCCTCCGTAGGCACCTGTCCCTCCATACCTGGAGGTTATCTTCATTGTAGTATTTTCCTTGGTTAGCTCTTTTTGACGTGTCGCCTTCTGGGATGACGTCGTTCTCTCTGTGACCCTGGTCACGGGCTTCTGCATTGCGGTTATCTCCTTCGATATCAAGATCAATTGGGCTGTCACTCCCAGTGGGAGCGTCCTCCCCAATATTTTGCTGTCCGTTACTGGCCATCTATTCTTCCTTCGTTCCCACAGACGGCGCCAAATTGTGTGGGTGAAAATCTGACCACACTGCCCGTCTAGTGATCAGCTGGAGAGCACAAGCGGAATAGATGGCTTAAGCAACCTGAGAGAGAAAGAAAAAGCTCCGGCGGTGGTTCTTCCACCCGGGGGCACTCCGACGATCAAGTCAGTATATCTCTCAAAGATAATCAAGTACTAAACTGAATACTCAAAGTATATATTACATATCTTAGACCCACGGGGGTGCCTCTCTTTTATAATATACTCAATCCAAGTCCCACTAGAAGTATGACTTCTATGAACTCTAGTTCACTGCTTACTCTGGACTCTTTTAAGTGATAGAGATAAACTCCCTAAGAGTTTAATCCTTATCTTGATTCAATCCTCTTTGCCTTAGGATTCTCGCCCCTTATCTCGGGCTCCGACATCTTCGGAGATGACCTCGGCTTCTCCGATATTACCTCGGCTTAACTACCAGGGCACATGGCACCTCGGCTGACACGTCGGCGTCACCATGCCACGTGTTGGTATCCTGAAAATACATCCCCACAGTAAATATGTAAATATTTCAAACATTATTGTTTAGAAAAGTAAGTCGCATCACATTGAAAGCAAAACCTGAAACTAATAAATGAATACTTGAACTACTACGCGAACCCTTGATCTTCTAATTTTTATTTGTAAAATACCAAAATTAAAACATATCATAAAAAATATAATATGCATAAGCTGATTTTTGTGGAAATGGTTGTATTGTATCCACAAATCTAGGAGGCTTGATTCACATGAAGAACAAAACAGCCGATAAAATATGGGACAAAAATAGGAAAAAGAAACGGTAGTTATGTAGAGTAATAATAAAGACCATTCATTCGTTCAAATAAAATAAAAATGTAGTAAGAAAAACGCGGAAAATATACTGAAAATCTAGGGACGGACCCTCCCTCCGTGTCCTCGTCTGTTTCTTTCTTGTTCTACATCTACTTATTTGTAGAATTTAAATTAGAGATTTGGATCCGAGCAGTCGAACCGACTCTCGGACTGTGCGTTTCGCGTCTCTCTCTCTCTCTCTCTCTCTCTCTCTCTTCCGGTGCCGGTGCTGTTTATTGTCTTTGCAGAGAGAGGGAGACGATCTAATCCTCATTCTTCCACTCTTCAGGTCTCTCTCTCTCTCTCCCTCTCCCTCTCCCTCTCCCTCTCTCTCTCATCTATGTATATGCATTGGTAATGTATGTTTAAAATTTTATGATTTATACATATATGTGATCTGTTTCATTGTTCTAGTTTTGTTTTGCAATCTCAATCATACTTTTTTTTGTTTATGTCAATTGCTTCATTGCCATCTGATCTGTATTTTGTAAATTTTGTTTTCTTTTCCTTTTCATATCATTCTCTTAAAGTTTTGTTATTCTCTTTTTTCTGCGTTCAAAAAAAGAAAAAATGATTGGTTGGTTGGTTTACGAACTAGGTGAGAAAAAAGAATGAGAAATGAATGAAGAGAAAGATAACTCTATTATTTTGTCGGTTTCATTTGTCACCCAAAAAAAAAAAAAAAAAGATAAGATTTAATGAGAAACAAAACGTTGAGAGTTACTAAATACATCATCAAATTTCTTTCTACATTCACATATACATGCATTTTTTTTCATTAGGTAGATTTTTTGTTTTTAGAATGCATATGATGGGTGTGTGTAGGAATTAATTGAATGCATTTAGAAGATCCCAAAATGATTGGTTGTGTATTTTTTATAATATTGAAATTGCCCATCAAAATTCAAAGGAAGAGAAAGAAATTTCACTCCTATCCTAATCTCACCTGTTTACATTTCTTATTCATCCGGACATGATAGTAAAAAATCACAATCATATATATATATATATATTCTCAATCAGATTAGAGACCATAATCATTAATTTTCTTTTCTCACCAATATATCAAATGGACTGTTAAAATCTAGAAACAGTTTTTTTGCATGGTACGCTGGTGAGGCTTGTACAGTGGATTGGCTTTTTACTTTTTCTTTTTTTTATTTTTCAATGTGGACCCAATTGTCTTATTCTCATTGTATCTTTTGTTTGATTTATTCTTTGATTTGAAGTCAAGTCCATCCTCTCTCCCACTCCATCTTCTTTCTTTGTGACACGTTGGAATGTTTGAAAAAGACAAATAGGACTTCTTTGTGCATGTTGTAGTCTGCAATTTTTTTCTTCTTCTTTGCTTCAAGGTTTAGTTGTTTTTCTCTTATTTTCAAATCACAATGCAGCTGTTGAAAATTCTGTGATACTGCGTTTGCTAGCAAATTCTTTTACTGATTAGTCAGTTTCCTGGAATTTTGCATCAAAATGTTGTTGCCACGTTCATACAAATTGAAATGCATTTTCTTCAAGTTTTTATTACATATGTGATTCTTGTTTTATTTTTCTGCAGGTTACTTTCAGTACTGAAACATCTAATTTTTGCAGCTTTTGACCTGTGATTTTTGCGGTAGGATCACTATTTGTTGTTCTTTTTCTTGCTAGCAGCGGTCACGTCATTGTTGGTTTTACTCTAAGATGGCTGTTGTTCGCTAAATAAAGGCAAGCTTTTCTGATTAAGTAGTTTGAGATTTTATAAAATACACAAACACAATATGATGATATTTGGATTATATAAAAAAATGCATTATATGATGATATTTGTTCAAATAAATGATAGAAGAATGTTGTCATTAAGATCAACATCCATATTGGTGGAGTGTTGTGTCCCCATTTTTTGTTACTTTATAATTGTTATTGTTTCTAGTTAATTGGTATTGCAAAGCCCATAGTTGGTTGCCATTTCAGCAAAATGGTTGTCCCATAGAGCAACATTAATTATAGTTCTTTACTTCATTCAATTGCTTGTGCATGAGCCTTACTGCCATTTAGGATTTTTAAGTTCAAATTAATGATTTTCACCGTAAAGAAAAGTGGGTTCTATCTACTTGTTGCATGTGTGTGAGTGCTTCACTGCTTGTGCCTAATATGTATTTGCATGTTCATGCCAATATATTATGTGGATATAAAAGATTCTTGGAGTAGAAATTGTAGGAAACCAACCTGTAGGGTACTCGGTGTGAATCTCTGTTATTGTCAGTGGTGAGGATCCATTTGTTACATGTCTATTATCAGTTACAATATTGGTGTTTCTTCTCTAAGATGATGAGGGCTGACGTAGTACTATTCGATTTAGTAGTTAGGACTGATAAGAAATTGATGGTGAGGTACAAGTTACGACACTGGAATTAGAGAATGTAGTAACTTGGGGTCAATCTGCTTCATGTTTGTATGCTTATTCATTGTTTCTAGTAGACTTTATATCTATGATTGCTATTTTTTCTAATTCTTTTAAAACTTTCCCTTTCATGTGAAATGGAAAAAAAAAAAAATCGTTTAGAATATCCTTACCTGCCACTTTTTATGGACATTTTAGCTCTTTTTCTGTTTATTCTCAAGATTTTGGTGGCCAAAATCCCTGCCTGCACCCCTCTCCTCCACCACTGCCTATATGGTCTTCAATTACTAACACCAATTATTTGCTTGATTGAGAGCCTCTTAGCTTGGTAGCCATTGAAACTTCTATAAGAAATGGATGAGTTGCTAGTTTTCTTGTCATGCATTTTGATGAATGAAAATTGCTCTACTTCAACTTTATTGGATGCTATCTGGTCTTTTATGCTTCAGGTACCTCTTTTTCCTTTTCTTGGTATTCACAATGGGCAGTTGTGCATCCACACCATTGCGCACGATTAAACCAAGGAGGAAATGCCATCATCATTCTGGAAAAAAGCATGGAAAGCGTTGTATTTCTATTCCTAAGGGAATAAGGAAAAGGAATAGTGATGCAGGAACTCTCATAACAGATTTTGCTGTTAGTGAGTTTGTTCAAACAACCACCTGCAGAAGATCTGAAAATTCCAATTCGACATTCCATCTCACTCAAATGCAATGGCACCATAGTCAGGTTGATGCTAATGGTATACTCTTTCTTCCTGTTTAGTGTTTAATAATTTATCTGAGAGTAATGTGATTTTACATGATTGGATGATCCTGCTTGGGTTTTTTAAAAGAAAAGTTTTGGCCTGATGAAAGAAACAACAGCTTGCTGTAAGCAATGGTCTCTGTGAGGTGTGCTCTTTCCTCCGCAGATTCTTCTTGGTTGGGTAATGTTTTGATTGGTGACTTCTGGAGCAATTTTGATTAATACAGCCTTAGTCCAAACATGTACATGCTCTGAGTATTCCCAGTATATGAGAAATTATATGGTCTAATTTTCCTGGCGTAACCTTTTTTGTTATTGTATAAACTGTAACTGCTTTCTACATTTTTCCATCCATGTCTCATTTTTCAGCCAAATTTTCTAATTTATGGAAGAATATCAATTTGATATGTGCCCCCTGTTTGAATCAAATTGGGTTGATTTTGGGTAAGTAGTTGTAAAGAAATGTTATTTTTGAACATCTCGTTGCATCAATCCCCAAAGAAACCTGCAGTTTTGATGGTCTGAGAATTTTTATATTAAAAGCGTTAATTATTTCCCAGGTTCTTGTTCTTGCTTATAATAAGTTGTTTGGTATTACTTAGAATATGCTCCCAAGCTATGCAACCTTGATTTATCTGACGGTTCACATTTAGAATTGATCAATGGCATGTATATTTGATGTCTATAAGTTTTACTTTTTATTCTCTCTCTCTCTCTCTCTGTCTCTCTCTCTTTTTTTCTTTCTTTTCTTTTCTTTTCTTTTTTCTTTTTTTTTGGTCCCTATCATAGCCTCTCATGGATTAATGGTTGTTTGTGATGGAAGAGTGAGGTGCGGCAACTTATGCTTGTTTATTTGCCATGCATGCTGTCTTTTTTTTTATTGTATGCTTTTTATGTTGCTGGATTTTGCCGATGAATCAAGTATACTATTTTTTATCCTCTCAATCAGGAAGAAAAACTGCTGAAGTTTTAAGTTCTACAGCTACCAAGTTAGAGAGCTTAATGACTTGAAAATGACCTAAGAAATTCATCTTTGCAGTAATTTGCCAAGAGGAAGCATGGTTTGACTCACTCAGTATTCTGGAGTCTGATTCAGATGATGAATTCAGTAGTGTGTTTGGAGGTAATGAACATCAATGTTGTTTTGACTATCTTCAAAAGTTCAGTAGTGTACTTTTGGTCATCTAGATTTTATATTTTGTAAATATCTAAAAAAAATTTGCTCAAATCGTATTAGATGTGGGTATGTCTACATGACTATGCGAGACTACTTGCTGTATTGACGAACTGATTAGTAAAGTAATTACTACTTCTCATGTACCTAAATGAATTTTTTATTTGTTTTACTTTTTTTTTTCTTCATGCAGACAGTTTCCCTAGCATTTCGAGTGGCCAAGTGCTTCAATATGAAACTTCATCATGCTTTGTGGATAACAAGTTATACAAAGAATGCTATGAAAGGTATCTGAAAATTGATGGTGGTAAAACAGAGAAGTTACTGAGCAAAGATGCGTTCAAGGACTCGAATGGATTTGCACTTATAAATGCCCAGGGCTATGAACTTGCTCGCTTGGGAAAGGCTGAAGAATTTTCAACCAAGACGAAGACAAAATTAGACAGGTCTTATGGAAGCTTTAACTCTTTAAAGGAGAATAAACATGACTTTGAAGAGAAAACCCAAGAGAACTTTATGAAATCTGGCTTACCTCGGCTTATTCCTTCTTTAAGCTTTAATGACAAGATAATCAATGCAACGTGTTGTACAGCTCAATCTCAAAAAAGGAAATCAACAGTTATCAGGCTTTCATTAAAGAGGACATCTGTTGATGCAGAAGAGTATAGTAAGTGTACTACCAATTCATATCTCCTTCAGTATTAATTTCTTGGATTGGGTCCAGAAGACTTTAAAAAAGAATATTAAAAAAACAAAAATGAGCTGAGTGCTTTCCGTGTTTTCTTTTTCTTTATTATTCATATACACCTGCATGAAATTTCTAGGGGGGACCTGAAAACCACAATGTGTTTTATGTACAGATCTCTATAATTTCCAAAGCCAGAGGCTCAATTATTAATTGTTAGCTAAGAAGTGTGGATAGGGATGCATTACATAGATACGACACAATTCGGACACAATGACACAACAGCTAATAAATATGTAACTTTGAATATATAAATGAAATTAATATTAACTTCTTCATTTTATGTTGTAAATATATTTATATTTTATTATATCAAAATAGTATGAATTTTTTTCGATAAGCTTTAAGGAGGAGAGATTAATAGGTAAGAAAATCATGTTGTTTAGATTTTAATGGTTGACTCTCAAGGTATTTTCTTCAAACTTATGTGTTTTATATTGATGGACATGTGTGTCTTCCAAGTGTCTGATGTGTGCCCAACTCAAAATATTTTAAAAATAACAGGACACATTTGGACACATGTTGACAGGGTCACACCATCTTCTTAGAAGTGTTTGTGCTGTTTAATTTTTAGCTAAACACTTTATAATATGTTTAGATTAATGGACGATTCAAGTGTAATTTAAGATGTGTTAGCTCAGTTCCTTGATTCACCTGATTCTATGTTAAAATTTTTAAACGCAATCCTTAATCTGATTAATTTACCTCAAATCTTGATCAGAAACTGGTAGTTTGATGTTTTAGTTTGGTTTTGTGTGTTCGGAAAGATTATAATTCTATACTGCATTTAGACAATTTCACATTTGTGCAGGTGCATCAAAAAGATTCGTGTATCGTCCTAGGGCTGGACTCCTAATCCCATGTTGCAAGGAATTGAAGCCAACTCCAGGATGTTGGTCTGAGATTGAACCCTCAACTTTTAAACTCCGTGGTGATAATTATTTCAAGTATGCTGTTAACTTCCACGTGTAACTGTTGACAAGGTATGTGTTATCTGAATGCTTGTTGTAGTATTTAATTGTCTGACGCATCAATATGCAGAGATAAGCGGAAATCCCCTGCTCCAAATTGCAGTCCTTATATTCCAATTGGTGTTGATTTATTTGTGTGCCCAAGAAAGGTTAACCACATTGCCCAACACCTTGACCTTCCTTCTGTCAAAGCAGATGGGAATCTGCCTCCGCTCTTAATTATCAATATTCAGGTTTTATTTCCACATCTCTTGTTCATTTATGTATTTTCTATTCACACTATTTACTCTGCACATGAATGCCATGTTGTTCTGGTGGAATATAGATATTAAACTTCATTAGTTTAAATTCAAAGTTTGGCTACTGAGCAGTTTCTCATCATTTATCTATTGGCTTATTGTATTTTGTGGCAGTTGCCTACTTATCCTGCTCCAATGTTCCTTGGTGATAGTGATGGCGAGGGCTTGAGTCTTGTCCTCTATTTCAAACTTTCTGAAAGTTTTGAGAAAGACATCTCTCCCCAATTTCTGGACGGCATCAAAGTAATTTACTTTGAATATCTCTTCCTAGACTGGTAGCCTAATACTTGCATTTTCCCTTTGTTGGAGTGGAATCTTATTATAAATTTTGATAAGATGAAACACTGGCGATTTACTTGTCATTAGAAAAAAAAAAATATATATATATATATAAGATGATACACTTAGGTCTTACTCCTGTCCTCTTGACCTGTGGTACCTTATCTGTTTTTTCCTTCTGCTGGAAATCAAACTGCAAGTTAATGGTAGGATGCCTCCAATATTGTTGGATCAAGTGAGCATATATTAAATTGGAAAAAATTGTGTTCACTGGAATAAAGTCCATAATGCTTTGGCTCAGTTTTTAAATGAAGTTTGCTACTGTTGCCCAATTTCTTGATTCCTGTAATGCACCTGCAGCTATTGCATTTAATGTCCAGTTGATCACTTTTTTCAAGTCTGTATAAATACTGTTTCAGTTGGTTAAAAAATGTTGGTTTGTGCGACAGAGATTGATTGCTGATGATATGGAAAAGGTTAAAGGGTTTGCAAAAGAAACCACAGTTCCTTTTAGAGAAAGGCTAAAGATCATGGTTGGGGTGGTTAATCCCGATGATCTTGTCTCATCTTCTACTGAAAAGAAGCTTTTACATGCTTATAATGAAAAGCCAGTCCTTTCACGCCCCCAACACAATTTTTATCAGGTGGAGTATCATACCCTCTTTTTTTTCTTACGTAGCTAAACTTCATATTTGTTATGCCTTTGGTGTTGTAGTATCTGAATCTAAAAAGTACGGATATGGACCCGTGACATGACACGGATATGACACTGACACGCAGACACGACAATTTTCAAAAAATGCAAAACACCACACGTTGGGAACATACACAGAATATATAAATTTGTATATTTATTATGTGTCATATATATGAACATATCATTCTAAGATAATAAATAAATATAATATAACACTAACTTCTATAAATTGACATTATTTGTCTTTTATCATTTTATTCTAAGTTATTTTGTTCAAATTTACAATTAGTTTCATGTGTGTCTAGTCAATGGACATGCATGTCCTCCAACTGTCTAAAGAGTGTCCGAATCTAAATTCTTTTTAAAAAATCAGGACACATTTGGATGAGTGTCGAACACGTGTCGGGAAAGTACGGACACGACATGGATACGCTACCTTTTTAGAAGTATCCGTGCTTCTTAGATCTGAATCTTGCCTTAATGCTGAGGTGATGATACTTCTGTCTGAATCTTACTCTCCTGTCTGATCCAGGGCCCAAATTACTTTGAGGTTGACCTCGACATTCACCGATTCAGCTACATAGCAAGGAAAGGACTTGATGCCTTCCGAGATCGTTTAGGAAATGGAATACTGGATCTGGGTTTAACAATCCAGGTATTACTTTTGTCTTGTTAAACACACCATTGTTGGGAATTCCGGGCTTTTTAATCTATTGGAGCTCTTAGAAAGAAACAAACAGAGAAATGGTTTTGTTATTATTTGATGATTGATCAATGCTTGCTTAAAAATATAAGAGCAATATTGTTTGTCAGAAACGGATTCTGACTTATTGGTTCAATTCCTTTAAGACAAACGACTTTTTTTGTTAGTTTGTTTTTAAATTTTTTAATTGCAGGCACAAAAACCAGAAGAACTGCCAGAAAAATTGCTTTGCTGTGTGAGACTGAACAAGATTGACTTTGTTAATCACGGCCAAATTCCAACTATAGTAGCAGCAGATGAGGGTTGATTTAACATGCATATCAAAGTTTTCTATTCAGCTTGTGGGAGGGGTTGATTTAAATAAAATTTATATCAAAGTTTTCTACGCGGCGTCTGGGAGGATCGTTCAATATGCCAGTTATACATGTACACATTTAAATTCCCTGCAATTCCAGCCTTGCATAATTGAAAGGAAAAGGGAAAAGGGAAAAGGAAAAATTTGTTTTTTCTGTAGGCAAAAAATAAAATGTCCTTTCACCTTTGATGTATAAAAATTATGTTAACATTGAAATGCTTTATTATTATATTATGTTATATTGTTTCAGACCTTGTTATCTGAAGAAAGTGCTTGGTCACTGGCATTATAGATGTAGAACCATTGATTTTTAGTTGTTGTGTTGTCACTGTTTAAAGAAACACATTCCCCCCAAATGATTTCACGTTTATCTCATTACTCAATACCAATCTTGGGACCTTTTCATTAGGTCTAGATCTCTTCCTTGTTTTTTTATTTTTTTTTTTTTTTTTTTATATTTATAATTTTTTTGTCGAAATTTATCAAACAAAGCCCATGATAAACGTAAAATCTCAACAAAATAATAATAATGAAAATTTTGCTATCCTTGGTCAGTAAAATTTCATTGTTGTTGACTAAAAGTCAGTGAATTTTCAATTAATGGCTAAAAGATATAAACTGCAGGTTAATTAGGAAAAAAAAAGAGTATTTAGGCCTCGTTTGGCAACCGAACTTTTTAGCTAAAAAGCCAAAAAGTTACTAAATTAGCCAAAAAGCCAACAACCCATACCAAAAAGTCAAAGATTCTATTTTCTCTCTACTTTTTGCACATCTATTCGTAAAAAGCCAAAAATTCATTCCAAACATACTAGTTTTTTTTAGCTAATATTTTAGCCAAATAGCCAAAAAGTTATTAAATTAGCCTCTACTAATAAACATTTCAAATTGCCAACTCAAAAATGCAAAAATTGAAAGGCCTTGTTTGGTTTGTGTTTTGAAATATTATTTCAAAAATAATTTTCTAGATAAAGTTTAGAAAATTTGTTTGGTTGTCAAATAGTTTTGGAGTTTTGGAATTTGGGATGAGTTATATTTTTTTGTAGTTGAATTGATGGGTGTGAGAAAAAAAAGTGATTGAGAAAGAAAGACGAGAGAGAAAAAGTGATTGATTGATGTGTATTAGAGAAAAAAGTGATTTTGGACTTTTTTTAAAAAAAATTCAACCAAACATGTTTTTAGAATTTTTTTCTCCAAAAACATGTTTTGAGAGATAAATCAAACATACCCAAAATTTCTCTATTTCAAAACAGAGAAATTTCACTTTCTAAAAAATATATATATAAAAGAGAAGAACTTTTTTTGGAGATTTGGTGATAGCCCCCTCACTATCTAATTTGTCTTTCAAAATGATAAGAATTATATAAGTACTTTCAAAACTCCCTAATATTTTAAAACTTGTTTCTTTTACTATATTACCCTCATATCATTCAGCTCTCCTATTAAGCCATCTTCACTGTGTATTTCAAAGTAAAATTTTACTCTGTATAAAAGTAAAATTTTACTCTGAATAAGAGTAAAATATTACACTCTGAAACTAAAAGTAAAATTTTACTTTGTATAAAAGTAAATTTTTACTCTGAAAAACTAGTAAAATGTTAGACTCTACACAAAAGTAAAATTTTACTCTGTATAAAAATAAAATTTTACTCTGAAAAATGAGCAAACTATGAAACTCTGAAGCTAAAAGTAAAATTTACTCTGAAAAACTAGTAACTTTACACAAAAGTAAAATTTACTCTGAAAAACTAGTACAATATTAGACTTTACACAAAAGTAAAATTTTACTTTGTATAAAAGTAAAATTTTACTCTGAAAAACGAGTAAGGATTTGGTGATAGACCCCTCACTGTCTAATTTGTCTTTCAAAATGACAAGAATTATATAGGTACTTTCAAAACCCCTTAATATTTTAAAACTTGTTTCTTTTACTATATTACCCTCATATCTATTAGCTCTCCTATTAAGCCATATTCACAGTGTATTTTAGAGTAAAATTTTACTTTGAATCATAGCAAACTTTACTCTGATTCAGAGTAAATGTTACTCTGAATCAGAGTAAAGTTTACTATGATTCAAAGTAAAATTTTATATTGTTAAGCAAATCAACATGTTTTTAACCAGAGTAAAATTTTACTCTAATTCAGAGTAAAACTTTACTTTGATTCAGAGTTTATATCGTTAAGCAAATCAACATGGTTTTAACCAGAGTAAAATTTTATTTTGAATCATAGTAAACTTTACTCTGATTTAGAGTAAAATTTTACTCTGAAAGTACAATTTTACTATGATCTAAGGAGAATATCTGTAACAACCCCCATACTGTTTACTGATTAATGACTGCTCGATTACCGATAACCATCGATTACCGTTAAACTGAATCGATTTTGACTGATAATTGAACACACTGACCGAAATTGAAACTGAATTGAATGAATACATCTGTTTGAACTGCATTCTATCTGTTGATTGTTTATTTGATCTGTTCGTATTTTAGTGTTTAGACTGCTAATTGAAGGCCTTATCGGCGGCCGAATCCGAAGCCGATTAGTGTTCCATGACCCTCATAATTTATGTGATTTTATGGTATAATTATCTGAAAATTGATTAGGTATGATTAAATTAGATTAAATGAGCTATATCAATACTTCAACAGATAAGCATATGAGCTATATCAAGACTACAATAGATAAGCATATGAGCTATATCAATACTTCAACAGATAAGCATATGAGCTATATCAAGACTACAATAGATAAGCATATGAGCTATATCAATACTTCAACAGATAAGCATATGAGCTATATCAAGACTACAATAGATAAGCATATGAGCTATATCAATACTTCAACAGATAAGCATATGAGCTATATCAAGACTACAATAGATAAGCATATGAGCTATATCAATACTTCAACAGATAAGCATATGAGCTATATCAAGACTACAATAGATAAGCATATGAGCTATATCAATACTTCAACAGATAAGCATATGAGCTATATCAAGACTACAATAGATAAGCATATGAGCTATATCAATACTTCAACAGATAAGCATATGAGCTATATCAAGACTACAATAGATAAGCATATGAGCTATATCAATACTTCAACAGATAAGCATATGAGCTATATCAAGACTACAATAGATAAGCATATGAGCTATATCAATACTTCAACAGATAAGCATATGAGCTATATCAAGACTACAATAGATAAGCATATGAGCTATATCAATACTTCAACAGATAAGCATATGAGCTATATCAAGACTACAATAGATAAGCATATGAGCTATATCAATACTTCAACAGATAAGCATATGAGCTATATCAAGACTACAATAGATAAGCATATGAGCTATATCAATACTTCAACAGATAAGCATATGAGCTATATCAAGACTACAATAGATAAGCATATGAGCTATATCAATACTTCAACAGATAAGCATATGAGCTATATCAAGACTACAATAGATAAGCATATGAGCTATATCAATACTTCAACAGATAAGCATATGAGCTATATCAAGACTACAATAGATAAGCATATGAGCTATATCAATACTTCAACAGATAAGCATATGAGCTATATCAAGACTACAATAGATAAGCATATGAGCTATATCACTACTACAACAGATAAGCACATGAGCTATATCAATACTTCAACAGATAAGCATATGAGCTATATCAAGACTACAATAGATAAGCATATGAGCTATATCAATACTTCAACAGATAAGCATATGAGCTATATCAAGACTACAATAGATAAGCATATGAGCTATATCAATACTTCAACAGATAAGCATATGAGCTATATCAAGACTACAATAGATAAGCATATGAGCTATATCAATACTTCAACAGATAAGCATATGAGCTATATCAAGACTACAATAGATAAGCATATGAGCTATATCACTACTACAACAGATAAGCACATGAGCTATATCAATACTTCAACAGATAAGCATATGAGCTATATCAAGACTACAATAGATAAGCATATGAGCTATATCAATACTTCAACAGATAAGCATATGAGCTATATCAAGACTACAATAGATAAGCATATGAGCTATATCAATACTTCAACAGATAAGCATATGAGCTATATCAAGACTACAATAGATAAGCATATGAGCTATATCAATACTTCAACAGATAAGCATATGAGCTATATCAAGACTACAATAGATAAGCATATGAGCTATATCACTACTACAACAGATAAGCACATGAGCTATATCAATACTTCAACAGATAAGCATATGAGCTATATCAAGACTACAATAGATAAGCATATGAGCTATATCACTACTACAACAGATAAGCACATGAGCTATATCAATACTTCAACAGATAAGCATATGAGCTATATCAAGACTACAATAGATAAGCATATGAGCTATATCAATACTTCAACAGATAAGCATATGAGCTATATCAACATTCCAATAGATAAGCATATGAGCCGTATCAAGACTACAACAGATAAGCATATGAACTGTATCAATATTCCAATAGATAAGCATATGAGCTGTATCAACACTTCAATGGGAGAGCATATGAGCTGCATCCCCGGGTCCATCCCCCATCTTCCCTTAACCATTAACCGGTTTAGAGGTACATCCCTCATATTCCCCTAAACCGTGAAGTACATCCCCCATCTCCTCCCATACACAAGCAATACATATAAACACAGAATCATATACATAATCGATCAATACATAAAGTTAATGTATTCTATCAACCGTCTACACATAATGCATATAAACACATTGGTCATATATACAATCAATTAATACATAAAGTTAATGTATTCTATCAACCGTCCTACTCTATGACACATTCGATTGATTAGTTTTAGTTTGCCTAATCATCATGCATTGTCTACAACAATCAATAATACCTTCCACCAGTAGCCCAAAGCAATTACTTCTAAACAGGAAATAAATGCACAAATGGATAATATATCAACATTTCAATTAGGTGAGTAATAAATGATTTAACTACTCCCTTTAGTCCCATACATTCCCAATTTCAACATTTCCAATTCGATTCCTCATTTCCTTTAATCAATTATATACATTAATTAATTAAAACAATTAGGGCAAATTACCTTAATTAACAAAACAACTCTAAGGTTTCATTTTCATCCACGATCCATCATCCAACTCATTTTCTTTTATACCAAACTTGCATATACGTCTATTTCAAACAAAACCCCAACTTTTGTAAAATTGCACAAAAGACCCAAACTTTCTCAAATCTACCCAACAACACCCAACATATCAAAATAGGGA